GTTAGACAGATCTTCTTTTTAATATATATGAAAAGAAAAAAACAACAGTTTCGAGATTCACGTTTGTGAAATGTATAAAGCTAATTTGCGATAAATTTTGAATCAACCAAAATTAAAATGCAAAATTTGATTGCCCAGCAATTTCTGATACAGTATTAATTATGGTTGCGTATCTGTTACACCCTGAGCCGCCAATTCAGCTAATGTCCTTTCAAGGTAACTCGTGTCAGGATAACCGTGTCCAGTTGTCGATGGCCCTAATTCAGTCTTATGATGAATTTCGTTCCATGTCACTACGTCTTCTCGTCCAGTGGTTACCGACCGCCCGACCGTGAATATCAGTCTTCGTTCAAATGCAATTTGTAGCAATCTTAATACTCTACGACCTAAATTATTATCTGGAAGGTAACATACTCGTGGGAAACCTACAGCATAATAAGCTTGACCAGGATTGGGATGTTCGTTTCCCTGAATTCCTGATGGAATGCTGAAATTTTTAATAAAATAAATCATGTACTAAAATTTTCAAGTTATTTCGTTTTTATGACTGTATTCACTTACTCGTAAGTTATCTGTATCGTATTCGTATTTTGAAAACCGGGCAGAGCTCGAGGTATTCTTGTCCAGTTCATAGATCCAGGAGGTTGATTACCTCTTTTCTCTCCATAAATTAGGCGACAAACAGGGCACTGTATATACATTGGAGGTTGCTGACAACCCAGCATAGCATTCAAACATGCTAAGTGTAATCTATGTTTACAGCGTGTCAATTCTACTGTCAGTGGCTCGGGCACACCGAGGCACACGGGACAAGAATCAGAATTGTCACTTTCCACTACTTTTACATACTGAGAAATAACATCTGATTCAGCATCTACACCTACATAACAAATAAATCCCTTTCTACTACATTGCATAAAGTCATGGAAATAATTTAATTAAGAAGAAAAAGCAGATTACCCAAAATAGTATCTTTGAATGCATCATCGCTGCCCACACTGCTATCCAATAAGTCTACTGGATTTTCATGACTTAAATATGTAGAAACAGTATCAACACTTGGCCTTCTACCACTTTTCGTACTACTAGAATCTACGTCCAATGCACTATCCCAAGTTTTCCTCTTTTGTCCGGATTCAATAGTTGCAATTGAATTATTGTTTTCTACTCCGTGTTTATTACTAAATATATTGAAATTACTTAAAATAACACGAGCTATGTTTGACGGGCCGGTATCTCCATTTTTCCCCTATTAATATAAAATTAATGTTATGCAAATGTACATTATAATTATAACAGCGAATGTCCTTTCCTTACCTTCTTATTATTCTTTTTTGTACTTCCCGCAGACGACTTTTTATGTGTTACTTTTGCAGTTGAGCTTTTAGCAATTGCAGGTACAACTTTCTTGTCAGAAATAACTTGTAGTTCTTCTAAAGCGACTTTGACTAAAGGATAAGGTGCTTGCTGAATTCGTCTTATTGGTCTTACATATCCAGTACAGCAACGTACTTGAGTTAAATTACAAAAGTTTATAATATAAGGAAAAGCCAAATATGTTTTAGAGACGTCAATAGTCTTTTCACCCTGTAATTAATTTGACATTAGAGATTGCCATCAAATAATAATTATTTTTGAAAAATAATACTTACCCTTGCCCATGCCTCTTCTATGAGGCATTGTACTTCCATATCGTAGGTATGCCAATCATCTTTATCACCAGCCCATTCCCATTTGGCTCCTTTCCCAGCTGGAGAACTTGGAAAATAATATTTTCTCCTGACATTATGCGTCTCATCCCCATCCTCGCTACATTGTGTCTTAGTCTTCAAATTTATGTAATATCTATTAGAAGTAATTAAATAAAGTAAATAAAATTTGAATAACATTCGGCGCATGTTACATATATTGATTTAAATTGTTTTATTAGGCTATGAAAATGCAAACCTATCCAAATGTGGATCTGCATCGTTAAGGAAAACGCGAGTAAGTTTTTTGCAATGCGCTCTCTCGAGATGTTGCGATACAGCGGGGCTATAAGGTCTCCATCGCCCATGACGATTTTCCCATTCCCATACAACAACAGCATGACCGTGTTCTTGTGCCTGGGCGTTCATCTTCTCACCGAAGAATTTCACACGCACGCGCAACTCACACTTGCGCAGCGAGAACGTGGGAACATTTTCAAGTCTTCTTTCCACGCTCACTCTAATTTAACTTCAATGTGTACGTATGTGTAATGCGCGCACACACGCAAATGAACGCATATACACAAGTAAACGTACGTATATCACTGCATTTAAGTAAATATGCACAAACAGATGTTAATTTAAAGTAAATCATAAAGTTAAAGCAACGTACAGAAATCAGTTTAACAATGTAATGAAAGAAACGTATCAGATCAACGTTAAGCAACTGCACATCGTTTTGTTTGTAATGAAATGCAACGCGAAAAGATTCGCTTAAACACCTGAAGTTCACGCGATTTCAAACATCGAGTAATCGAGGTATCGAGATTTCAAACGCTTCTTGTAAACATTACAAGAGAGAAATAAAAATAATTCCTTATATGCTTTGTTACTTCCAATATTATGTTTAATTGAAAAACGAGTGAAATATATTGGGTCTGTCTATGTAATATAGATATAAAACTAACTACACCTTTTTTAATTTGTATTACTTTTGTTAATTAGAATTTATCACTACGTTTATATTTTTGATGATATTTTTAAGATTACCTTAATAGCCATTGATATTGTCTCTATAATTTGACAACGCAATTATTTTAGCACTAATTTACATAACCTGTATCTGTATTTACAGTATTAAGCAAGTGTTTGCACACCAGCCAGAGCCAGAGTACTATTGCGAACTACGTATGTACACTACACAAATGACCAACCTATCATTTACGATCGGTAAAATTGGGATATTTTAACAGACAGTATTGACTTTAAGTGCACGCGATAAAAGAACAATTAAGTTTATAAATAATAAACGAGTAATACCTCGTTATGTTATTATTGTGCGGATGTTCTGTTCGATTTAATTGCTCGAGAACAAACTGAACTACAACCTGCCGACTCGAAATCGAATCATGAGAACAGTAGATGAGTAATTGTGTTACGAATCAGTAATTTATACTTTAAGAAAATGATTTATGTGTTTTTTAATTCATGTATTTACGTCTCGGATTTGATGTATAACTGCGTAGGTTAGCTTATCCAGTACTGTGAGAAAATTCCAGACTACGACGAATACACAATTTCGAGAATATGGACGTAGATAAAGTAGCCGTGTTTGCTAGTGTAGGAATCGCAATTGTTGTTGCAGCGTTTATCTTATGGGGCCCTTCACCTAAACCTAGAAAAAAAGGTATAATAAAAAATATCCTCAATTCCTAAACACTCGTACAAGTATAGTTCACTGTACTTCCTGTGTCTTGTTTTTTTTTTAGGGAAAGTCATTGGAATCAATAATTTAGGGTATACTTGTTTTTTGAATTCCCTGTTACAAGCTCTAGCTGCATGCCCAATGTTTATTGGATGGGTAAAAAAGCAAAATGAAAAAATGGAGAGAGCTACGTTCATACCAAGCCTCCTATCTGTCTTTGAGAGTATGTTATCAATTATATTGGAACGTTACTTATTCCAATATTTTCTTAATACAAACTTTTTCATAGTGTGAAGAGTTTAGAATTGAAATTAATGAACAAATCATGATATGAATTCTTTTGCTATTAGAAATCAATGGATATACAGAAGACTTGTATGGTGATGTAACACCAGTAGAAATTATATCATCACTTGGGAATCAATGGAAATTTGCACCTGGCCATCAGGATGTGCATGAGTTATTTCATGTGGTTCTCAGCGCATTACAAGCAGAAATTCAACCAGTGAATAGGGTATGTTAAAAAATGGAGAATGTTTAAAATATTTCGAAAAAATTTGTATATAGAATAAAATTTCTATATTGTCGATGACTAAAATATGCTTATAACAATATCTTACAGAAAGGTTGCTTATCTGATGCTTTGCCGCAAAGTCCAGTGATGGTACCAGACACAAAGAAGTCAGATACGAGATACAATGATCCCATAACATTTAGAAGTGTATCTTGTAATGATATCGTGTCAGTTAATAACAGTAACATACCCAATGGTTTCGACAGAAATTGCAATAACCATGTAATGTCTTCAACGACATCCGTATCAAATATTCCAATGACGCATAACAAGCCAGGCATGATCCTAGCTAGATCTTCAGAATTGCTTTCAAAAAGTATCGGTTCTAAGGAGAGTAAAGACTCTTTCAAGCCATGGAGCTCTTTATGCACCATGCCATTTTCTAACGTTCCCCCGATGTCGGTAGAGGTGCATCCATTCTCAGGCTTATTAACTAGTCAATTACAATGCAGTCGTTGTAAATGGAAGGTCGGTCGTCAAACCGTAGCAAGTTTACTTACAATAGTATTATGCAAAAACCTAAAGAATCCTTTTTACAGTCTGCAGTACATTATGATAAATTGGAAACGGTTTCTTTACCGTTGCCTCCTATGGGCCCATATATTAAATCGCATCATACGTTAGAGGAATTATTAACGCGCTTCGTGAGCAGTGAGGTCGTTCAGGATGTACTGTGCGACGGATGTGGGATGCGTTGTGTCGCTACTAAAACCTTGACTCTAGGTAAACTTCCGAAATGTTTATGTCTACATATATCAAGAACCACGTGGAGCTCTTCAGGAGTACCGATCAAGAGAGATGACCCAGTCAAATTTCCTGAGATACTAGCTTTAGATCCTTATACTTTCACGGAAACAAGAAAGCGAAATGCGCGGGTATGTCGTGTACATCTTATAATAAATATATATTCTATTCTCTGCTGATTTATAGTTAAATATGAATTGATTAGGGTGATCCTGAGGCAACGATGCTACTCACCAATAGAACGACGTCGCAAGATAAACATAAGTATCAGTTACGTGCGATCGTGGAACATCGCGGACCTGTCGATTCTGGGCATTTCGTTTGCTATAGACGAGGAAATAAAGCTGGTCAATGGTTATACACGTCAGATAACGTAGTCGAAGGTATATCCTTTATCGAGGTCTCGTGTGCCACGCCATATCTTCTCTTCTACGAGCGTGTTAACAGCATATAGGAATAGCTAGTAACCAATTTCAGTGATCACAACAGATATAGGAACAATACATTGAAGTAATATTATTGTAACCGAATTTAAGAGACTGATTGTGTTTAAACAGTAACTTCTATATGTATCTCTTGTAAAGTAGACGAAACGGTATTAAATTATTCGAGAATGCTTAAGCTTACGTAGATTGTATGTTTTTCCTTTGAATGTTTTGTTCCTATTTGAGTGGTATTTACAGAAAGACGAAAATGTAGAAATGGTTCTCAGTTCACTTGACAGTGTTACAAATTAAACTGGAAAATTCTTGACGGTATATATTTTAAGAAACATCTACTTAATGATTTATGTACAGTGTAGTAGTTGATAGTTAAGACTAGGATCTCTAGATATTATACTTAGTATGTTATAGAAGAAATTAGCTTATTGCTTGATAAATTGCAGAAACTAAAGTAGGAATAAAATTGTGCCAAATAAGTTAGTCATCTTTTGTATACGAACCAGATTGTTTGTATAACTGAAA